GCTGCCTTCACACCCCCCCAGCCCCCCAGCCCCCCGTCGCCCCAGGGCCTCCTGCAACAGCGTAGAGCTTGGAACATGGCTGTTTCCAATGAACCTCTGCCGAATGAGTGAACGAACCATTGAACAAACCACGGCACATGTTAGACAAAACCCTCGCAGCTGAAGCCGTGGACAAAGATGCCAGGACAGGAACCTCGGGAGCTCCCCACACTCACTGGGAGGCCCCTTAAAGGCAAAGAGCCCGGCCGGTGTGGCTCAGTGGTTGAGCGCCGACTTATGAACCAGGAGGTCACGGTTCGATTCCCGGTCAGGGCACATGCCCGGGTTGTGGGCTCGATCCCCAGTGTGGGGCATGCAGGAGGCAGCCGGTCAATGATTCTCTCTCATCATTGATGTGTCTATCTCTCTCTCCCTCTCCCTTCCTCTCTGGAATCAATAAAATATTTTTTTAAAAAGAGAGAAATGAAAGAGAAAGAGAACCAAGCCCAGGCCTAGGCACCTGATGAGGGCCAGGCGCTGCCCCAGGTGGGCGTGTGCTCCACGTCACCTGCACCCCCTGCCCATGGGCTCCTGGGTTCTGACGGTTTTCCCAGTTTGACGATGCCTGGCTTGTGATGTCTGTGACATTTTTAACAAAATCTGGAGCCTGATGTGCGGGGGCAGGAGGTAGGTGCCAAGAGAAAGGACCCGGGGGCCAGGGCCCCGGCCCCGCCGCCTGCTGCACGTCCCCGCCCCGGGCCTGGCCGTCGGTACCTAGCCGGCCGCACTCCTCGCGCTTGGTGAAGTACTTGAACCCGTTGGCTGCCCGCCGCTCAGCTTTCTCGTGCTTCTTTATGTGCCACGGCAGCTTGGTGGTGATGTTGGTCACAAAGTAGCAGCCGGTCCGGAGGCAGTGGTAGTGGCCGCGCATCCGGAACTCACAGTGCTGCCGGGAGGGACAGGAGGGTCGGGCCAGGTGGGCCAACTCTGTGAGTCCCACCTGCCCCGGCCTGTGGGCGGCGGCAGGCCCCCTGCCTACGTGTTCTTCCGTGCTCAGAATCCGAAAACACAATCGGGGAAGGACCTTTCACTCGCTAAAAGGTAGTCCCCCCCTTTTTGCCATTTGACTAAAACAGTGATGGCGAACCTTCTGAGCTCGGCGTGTCAGCATTTTGAAAAACCCTAACTTAACTCTGGTGCCGTGTCACATACAGAAATTTTTTGATATTTGCAACCATGGTAAAACAAAGACTTCTATTTTTGATATTTATTTTATATATTTAAATGCCATTTAACAAAAAAAAGTCAACCAAAAAAAAATGAGTTCGCGTGTCACCTCTGACACGCGTGTCATAGGTTCGCCATCACTGGACTAAAACATCCTACCTGGTATTGACGGCATCCTTCCCTAGACCCACACCCAGAGCAGACATCACTAATCTATCCTGGCACTCTTCTCTGTATGCCCAGACCGAGGCAGACATCACTAATCTATCCTCGCACTTCTCCGTGCCCAGATCTCGGTCCGGGTTCCTCCAGAGGTTCACCATGAATCTGACCTGCCCTTCCTGTCTGGGCACGGACAGCTCAATCTCTTTATGTGTCCAAGGTGCCTATTTTAAATCTAGGCCTTTGGGGAAAGGGAGCCTGGTTAGTTCCAGGAGGCAGAATGATGCCAACGTCACCGTGGCTGCCCAGGATATAGTCGCCACTGAGGCTTAGGATGAAATGACAGACTTCACCAACTAGCACCAATCCGAACCCCTGCCCAGGGCCGCCGGGGCCCAGGGGCAGACCGTGTCCTTTCCAGAATCTGAAGGAGGCCAATTCAAAGAGGGCGTGAGGAACAGCCTCTGCCAGGAGGGATTGTCCTGGGGCCAGACCCTCCCCGCAACCTCCCTGCCCCGCCCTGCCTCCCCCTCCACCGCTGACCTGGTTGGGACAGAGACACTGCAGGGAGTAGTAAGCGAACTGGTCTCGCACGTTCACCAGGTTGTTGTTGGGGTTGATGTGGTCCAGGCAGTGGGACTCGGCCTTGCCGGAGGTCTTGCAGACGTACTTGCAGTTCCCAAAGAGACAGTGGAAGTGGAACTTGTTGGCATACTTGCAGTCCGTCGCCAGGCAAGGATCGCTGGAACGAAACCACAGCCCAGAAGGTCATTGGCATTCCCGGTGCCCGCCCCGCTGGTGTCCTGCCATTTGCCCATGTTGGGGTTCTGCTCCCCAGTCCCTGGTGGTGCAATCAAGAGGAATGGCCCCTGGGCTGCCCTCCTGCTCAACAGGATGATTCAGTCTGTGGAGACTACAGATCCCAGCATGCATTCTTGCCTTCTTTTTGGAGCTCTGAAGGTGCATAAGGGATCACAGTATGCAGGCTGCCCAGAGCATTGCATGCTGGGACTTGTAGTTTCCACGGCCACACCTCAGGATTACAGATAAGGATGTCTGCAATGACTTCTTGGATATGAAAATGAGGGATGGCGCTGCCAGCCCTGGCGGGATGCCAGTGAGGCCTGGCTGTCATGGCACAGGCAAGGCCCGGGATGTGGCTGACTGACAGGGTGCAGATGGGCGGGTAGAACTACCAGGAAGTGTGGCTACCACGGGGCCTTGGCCAGTGGGAATGGGCACCTGAGGTCAGGTCCTGCTGAGGTTCATACTTGCTAGGACTCCCAGGTCAGCTGGGGGCTTGGGGCAGCCATCTGCTCACAGAACCTAAGCCAGCCGAGTGACGGGGCTGGCAGGGGCGGGAGGAATGCCGGGTGGAACCCCCGTAGCTGGCCTGCCCTGTGAGTGGCAGCCCCTGCCCCTTGGCGGGGGGTCCCGGGCTGCAGACAGGCATGGAGGGTGCTGCACTCCGGCCTTCTGCCCTGGCTGCAACTCGGCTGCCCCCACATCGACCCGGTGGGAACTCTGACCAACTCTGTAAAACTTGGGGGGCTGCCACTGTGGGGAGGTGAGTGGGGGAAGGGAAGCTGGGGAGGGACGGAGGGGAGTGCAGGTCCCCTCCAGGCTGTGGGCCCAGCCCCGGTGCTCAGAGAGGGAGGACAGCTGCCACTCAGGCCGTGTATGTTCACATCCAATTTATTACTTTTATTGAGAACAGGAAGCCGCACACATCATGATACAGAGTCACCGTTCTCGCCGCAAGTAGCCACCACCGTCCCGTGAGGAGGTCCCTTCCCCCCTGGAGCTCAGACCCTGTGCAGGTGGCCGTGGGCCTGGAGCGGGGCCCGGCCCTCACCCCCCGGGACCCAGGGCTTCGCTTGCCCTGCCGAGGCTCAGCCAGGCCGCGAGCCGCCGAGGAGCCCACAGGTGGCCCAGAGGGAGAGCAGCCTTCCCCGCGGGCAGGCCCGCCACTCCGGCCCCCTGCGTCAGTCCTTGCAGCGTCACCACCGGCCTCTGGAATAGCGGCCACCACCACCACCATCTCCCCCACCCTGGCCACCTGCTCTGGGCACAGGACGTGGGTCAGAGCAGCAGCATCTTTGGCTAGAAGGACATTGCCTGATGACCGGGTCCCAGAGAGGCCGGGCACGGCCAGGGCTAGCTGCAGGCCGGGCGGCAGCGCCCTCGGCGGTCCTTGCCAGCACCTACTCCCGAGACACGCGGGGGACACGGGACTCCCGGGTCATCGAGGGACTCACTTCTCCTGGAACTGGAGGAATCCGGGTTTGACCTGGGGCTTGGCGTTTTCTAGAGAAGTCGTTGCCAAGGGCGAAGTGGGCAGGTGAGGCACTGACGTTGGAATCTGAGGCATCTGGGGTATGGTGGAAGCCAGCTGCTTCCAGGCGAGCAGGGTGGGGGCGGAGGGCACCGTGGCCAGGCTGGGAGTGGGTCCCTCCAGAGAGGACACCGTGGCCGTGGTGACGGGCGGCGCCGGCGGGGACGAGGGGGCCAAGGAAGGTTTGGTCTCAGCAGCCGAGGCCGGGAAGGAGGCCTCCGCATTGCCTTTCGCGGCTCCTCCCTCCGTCCGGAAGTGGAAACTGCAAGAGGCAGAATGGGGGTCTCAGGTGGGCAGTGGGGGGTCCCGGGCAGGTCCGCCCTCCCCTGCTGGGCAGGCCTGGGCGTGGTGGGCCTGCCTGTATCCTCAGAAGCCCAGAGTCACAGTGTCCCCATCTCGCCCCCAATGCCAGTCGCCGCCAGCAGGGAGGGCTGAGCGGGAGCTGTGCCCTCCAGTCCTGAACTCTGGCTTCTGGCTCAGTCCGAGCACACCTTCCTGCCGTGACCTCTGTCCCTACTCCTCCCCACACGGAGGGGGCTGGTGGCCAGCAAGCCCTGGCCTCATGAAGCCCATCCTTCCAGAACCTGCTCTGAAATTCAAAGGTGGGTCTTGGTATTTAGTCGGCTCTTCTGCAGACGAGCAGCTGGGGCTGCGTAGCAGTGAGCCCGATCCGGGCGCAGGGAGCAGGGACGAGCTGTTTGAAATGACTGTAAGTTCTGGGTTCAATTACAGTAGGCGCCAGGCTTGCCGCTTTTCAGCTCAATGGGTTTCACAAATTAACTTCTTTATTTTTAGGTCAAAGAGAATAGACAAATGCACTGTTTGGGCTTGGAAAGGCCTTCTCCGGGGGTCCCTGCCCGGTCAGAGCGGGGGCTCTGCAGCTGGCTCTGCAGGCAGCGCCTGGGGTGGGGCTGGGGCTGCCCTGGGCCTGGTGAGCTGGGAGGACAGGCTGGGCTGAGCATGGGAAGCATGGGAAGCCTGCATCTGAGAAGAAGCCAGCCCAGCGTCTGGGGTCTGGTGGGAAATGGACATGGGCCCTCCAGCCCCACAGGGATAAATACATGGGGCTGGGTTTAAACGGGCCCCTTCCGGGGACCCCAACTCACTTGGCATGCTTGATGGCCCCGTCCAGGGTGCTGAAAAGCGCGCCGCACTCCTCCACCACGCAGTGGAAGTGGGCCTTGTGAAGGAAGTCACACTGGGCGTCGCAGAAGTCCTTGGTACCGAACCTGGCCAGGGGAGCCGGCTGGTTAGAGGAGACCCTGGCGCTCCGGTGAGGCCGGGTGTGCAGTGTGGCTGGGCGCCGGCCCCCAGGACAGGTAGCCTGGCCTCTCCCTCCCCCTGGCTCTCCCCGCGGGCCCCTCACCTGCGCAGGTACAACTTCCAGGGCTCCGGCAGCTTCTCCTGAACCAGCGCCTTCGCGGCCTTGCCCAGGAAGGGCAAGGCCTCCACGTTAGGACTCCCCTCTGCTTCCGTCTTGATGTTCAACAGGCTGCCGAGGTTGGGGTTGCCCTGAGACATCTGTGGGGAGGACAGGGGCCATGCTTGGGGCTGGGGGGCCTCAGGACACAGCCCCGCTGCCCTGGGAGTGGCAGTAGCTCTGGACCCCTTGGGCCTCTCACACCGACCAGAGCCGGCGGTGCTGTGAAGAGCCCTCTCTGAATGGACGCTGCCCGGCCCGGCCCTCGGAGAGGCCAGGGCTCCCGCACACACCCCGTGCTGCTGGGCCCCGGGCGGGCACACGCTCCAGCCCAGCTTTCCCCAGACTCCGCGGCTCCCTCGCTATTTTCCTGCCAGGTTTTCAAAAGAAGTGCGAGAGGAGGAGGGGTGGGGGAACCCCTACGAATTTCTTGAGAACAAGAGAAGGCACACAAAGGAGGAGCAGCGAGGAGGGAGGGGGCTCCCAGGGTCAGATGGAGACAGCTGGATGCTGCTGGGCGAGGAGGGGGAGGGCACGCGTGTGCGCACGCAAAGGCTTGCCGCTTGCCGGAGGCTCCGACAGGAAGGGACGAGGGGGTGCAGGGGGCAGTGACCTAAGGAGGAAAGAGAAGAGCACAGAGCCACCAGGAGAGGGAGGGAAGGAAGAGGCACCAGGTGCTGGGCAGGGGGCAGGGGGCAGAGGGCAGAGGGCAGAGGAAAGCGGGAGGCTCCTTCCCGGCCAAGGGCCCGGCCAGGGCTCCCACCCGTGAGGTCTGGCCGAGGCCCGGCTCCCTCCTCAACAGTCACTTGTGTACAGTAACCAAATTAATCTCGCTGTAGTCAAATTTATCACGTGAAGGGGGAGAATGTATTTGAGATGATGTATAATTTACAAAGACCCTGCATTATTTAAAATAAATATTCCGAGCGACCTCTGCAGAAGGCGTCCGAGACCATCACTCAGCCCGAAAAGTGGGGGCTGATGCTTTGCTCCCACTGGGGCCCCCCTCCCCCACCCTTTCTTAAACAAACAAAACAAAATATATATAAAATAAATAAACGAAATGAATAACTAACAGCGGGGGAAGTTGGAGGGCTCCGGCGAAGCTTTAGGAGCCCTCCATCTGAAGGGGGGAACGGGGTGTCGGAGGCTGGGATATATTTCTTCAGCCAGTTCATTAAATTAATTTGTAAGCAGTGGCTCTGAAATTATATCCGATGAAAAATGGCCTCAAAATTTAAATGGTACAAACTCATCTTATTAGAGGCAAAACATTAAAAAACAAACACATCCCCCCCACCCCCCAACGCAGCTTTAATTTCTCCGGGTGGGGGCACGGGAGGCGTGTGATGGATGGTTCTTACCTTATTCATAAGCGAGGATAAAAGAGATGAATTTGCCGGGACTGCGTGGCCATTTGATTCATTACTGGAACACACAAACCAAGGGGCCTTAGCTCAGACGGACGTGGGACTGAGCCCGGAGCCTCGTCCCTCCCAGCCCGGCCCTGGGGCTCCGGCCAGCGGCTGCACCTGCCAGGAGGGAGCGGACCCCCTGCCAGGAGGGCTTGGCCCCGGTGCCCGGTGGGGCCTGGCTCCGAGGGCGCTGTCCCCCGAGCCTCCCGCAGGGGAGCAGAGCAGGGAGGCCCCGGCCTCGCCTCACCTGGGCTCCTTCACCGTCAGGTCTGCACTGCGGTCCTGGGAGGCCTCGTGGGAACCGGGGGCACCAGCGTTCTCACCGGGCTCCTGCTTCACCGGGGCCGGGGGGAACCTGGCGGGGGTGGCCTGCTGCCCATTTCCTACAGGGGAGGGGAGGGAAGACGGCGTTAGAGGGGCTGAGGGCTGCCTATGGGCGCCCACCGGAACCCCCCGGAGGGAGGGCAGCGTGCCGGGTGGGCTGGGGCCCCCGGGAGCCCTGGCTGCCGGTCAGCGGTTCTCCCCACTGACGTGATCACCGGTGACGCGTCCCCCTGTGTGGCAATTCTTCAAGTGATAATTATTGCAAAATTATGTCAAAGTTGTCCAGGCTCAGGGCCTCCTGGATGAGCAGGGCGGGAGGCTGGGGAGGGGGCCGGGCCGGGCGTGGGGGCCCTTCATTTTCTCCACCGACTGTC